TTAATAGGTCCTACTAGAATTGGCAAGGAACAGGAACAAAATTCCGTTGCCGAAATCGATAGCTGGACCAGGGATGGCGCTGCCCCCAGACTCCGATACCTTGATTACTCCAAATTATCAGCTGGTGACCCCGAAGAAGCGAACAAGTGAAGCTGTTGAAGAAACAGAGGAGGAGGAAGAAGCTAGCGAGTCTAAGTCTCAAGAACAGAGGACTGACATGCCACAAACTACTCCTCAACGGGTTTCCTTTCCTCTCGGCCCAAAACGTGCAAGGTGAAACCATGTCTTAATTCATAAAGCTCGTTCTGTATAACGTTTACTTTTCATATCTGTTTAAGTTGTTTATTTCATGTTGCTTAAAGCAAATGTTAGATGTTATCTATGTGAAGGTTGGTGAAACCGAAACTTTGGTATGTTAGATGTGAGGTGGGGGTGTAACGACGTTTTTTTTTTTGAAGTGTATAATTTAGGCAAATACTCGTGCATACTCCTCATCTTTAGTGAGGTTTGAACCCTTTGACTTCTTGAGAAGTTGGTATCTATTGATAATCTGGATATTGCTCAGTGAGTGACCCTTTGGCATAGTGATGGCCAAAAACCGGTCCCAGGCCGGGCCGTAACCGGTCCTGACCAACGAGTAAACCGGGCAAAACCGGTCCTTCCATAACCGGTTTTGTAGCAAAATGACTTTATTTGGATTTCTTCTCATTGTTTGGGTTTTGTGTTCCAGTTTTTGTTCTGGTGTTTATAAAATGTCTTGGTTTCTTTGGAATACTACAATAATAAGGTATTTTAGATTGGGATCTTTTCAAAATTAGGGGTAAAATTGTAATTTACGTTATTCTAACGGTTATTTAGCACAAAAAATAAACAACAATTTATTAATTTTTTTTAAAGACGGTGTAATCTATAAAGACAGTTTAATCTGCAGAGGCCTAATGAAGAAAAAACAACTTTTTGATCTCGATGACTCGACAATTTAGGGGTTGTTTACCAAACACTTACTCGGTAAACGCTTACTGGTAAAATTTATCACTATCATTTACTTACGAGTAAGATTTTAGTCCACCAAAACAACATCGTATGCAACAATTTACCCGGTAAGCGCTTACCATGGTTAAGAGTCGTCGTCCCCACTTATCGGGTAAGACTCTTGGTCCTTGTCTCGCTCTTACCGGGTAAGATTCTTGATCCTCATTATATTCATTCGGTAAGGTAATGTGACTTAGTAAGCGCTTACCTAGACAAGACTTTGGTAAACGGCCCCTTAGTCATTGTTTCTACTAATAATTGGTACAATACGTCGATCCACTTGGGAAAAAGTGGTTTTAAAATATACACAAAAGAAATCCGAGTCTACTGTCATGTACGCTTAAACCATTGGCAGACATTCTTCAATGGATCGAGTATGCATTACCGAAATATCATTCCTTGAATACTTGTCGATAACGCCACCCCCCTCCTTCAAAAATCCGTTCTCCTGCCTTTGTTGCCTGATATACCCGCAAGGATCACGATCAGCTAATGGCCTCACAGTTTTAAAACGAAATCCAAGAACCTGTTTTTTCCAATCAGTCGAACATGTTACAAGAGCAAGCAAAAAGCATTGCACGACCGATCCAATTGTTAGTCCACGTCACGATCTTTTACCGTTACCGAATGCAACCCCAGAACAGATCGGGTGCATAAGAGAGTCATGCTCGCTATGGGAATTTCTCTTTAATGGTGATGGCATTGAGTGCTTGATAATCTATGCAAAATCTCCCGAATTAAAGCGAGCTATTTGAAATTCCTTTTACACTTCCCGCTTATTCATTAGGGATATTCTATATCGCTTTATCCAAGGAGATTGCTCGCCTTCGCCCGCTACGACTGCTCCAAGAATCGGTATGGTCAAGATAGCCGTTTTTGCAACGTTGGGATTCCCAGCTCCTAATTCGTTAGCGACCTGTGTTCTACAAAAGGGCAAGTTTTAATTTGGAAATAGTTGAGTTAGCCAAAAACACCAAACAAGTTTAGACCACACCATGCAACAACCCCAAATGAGTCTTAAGGGGCCGTTTACCAAATGCTTATTTGTGTAAGCGCTTATCAAGTTATATTACCTTATCGGATGAATATGGTAAGGAACAAAAATCTTACCTGGTAAGAACGAGGCAAGGATTGAGAGTCTTACCCAGTGAGGACAATGATTCTTACCACGGTCATTTCTTACCGGGTAAATTGTTGCATAGAAAGCCGTTTTTGTTGACTAAAATCTTACCCGATAAGTAGATAATAGTATTGAATTTTACCGGTAAGTGCTTACTAGGATAAGCGTTTGATAAACGGCCCCTAACTGTTGGAGTTGGACAGTTGCAAATGCTGATAAATTAGACCAAGATTTTCAAAAAAGGTCGCAACTTTTAAGGGTTCATGAGAAAGAAGATTACCATATCGAGAGCACTGAAGTCTCCAACTGCGGATTTGGCAAGAGCCCAGATACCAAAACAACGATCTCATACGACACAAAATTATATGTAGTTTATATGAACCACAAGAATGATGTCTGATTGGTTTGTGATTGGTTTCACAATGTGTTTGTTTCATATGTATTCGGTTCACAACGTGAAACTTTTTACGTGTATTGTTTGTTTCACTAACGCGCCAAAAAGGTTCACATTGTGAACCGAATACATGTAAAACAAACACATTGTGAAACAAATATATGTCAATCACATCATTAAGTTCTAGTCATAGATGAAAATGAAATAGCATATTATGCGCTGGTTCTCAGTGATCTCATGATTTAGAGAGTTCTCTAAAGAAGGTCTCCATAGACATTAGTATCACAATTGAATATCCGTCACAAATTAATATATATATTTAATTACATAATAAATCTATTTACGCTATTAAAATATGACTTCTGTTATTGACGACCCAAGACCCTTATAAACCAGATGCTCGTACGCAAATGTGCGTACTTGGTCACGATTGTTATATAGCTACGTTTTTGCATTCTTTTATCTTCAAAATATATTCATAATTTCCCGTTGGAAGCATAAGTATTTGATTTAACACATAAATTAATAATCAAGTTTACTAAACGCTTACCCTGTAAATGTTTACCGAGCAATTTTCTTCACCGGATTAACATAGCAAGAGTCAAGAATCTTACCTGGTAAGAGCGATGATTATGATAGAGAGTCTTATCCGGTAAGTGAGGATGACGACTCTTACCCGGGTAAGCGCTTACCTGGTAAATTGTTGCATAGGATACCGTTATGATGTACTACAATCTTTTCGGATAAAAATAAATTATAATATTGATTCCTACTAGTAAGCACTTACCGAGTAAGCATTTGGGTAAACTACCCTTTAGTTTTATAAAATTCAATGTATTAATAAGTTATATATGTTGTATAATATGGTAAAAATATTATACAAATATACTCTCATGTGAATATATTCGTTACTGAAATTTTGAAAACCGGATTAAAAAATTGTAAAAAAAATCAATACAATATTAAATTAAAGAAAATAAAATAGTCATTTTTTATGTATATAATTTGTTTACTTAAATATAATTATATGTGTAAGATTATTTATATTCTCCTAAAATCAAGATAAAAATGTAAGTTTTCAAAAGATAATATTACTTTTCAAAAACCCTTCAAAGTTTCAGTTATATTATTTTTAAATAATAATAATAATAATAATAAAATAAGGATATTATAAAAAATTTAATACGTTATTATCTGTTGATAATATTTTTTTTGAAGTATATAATATTTATATACAACAAATAAACTCACACACCCTCCTCATCTTTGATGATATTTAAACCCCTAACCTTTTAAAAAGCTAAAGACTACGATACCACTAGACCAAAGACATTTTGATTGTTCATAGGACTAAATGTTGTAACTATTTCCAAGAACATTAAAGAAATCTAAGAAGCAAAGCAACAAATTGGTCAAACCTCAAAAATAACGTTGTAATGATGCTTCATTTCCTTGGGTTTTCCAAATCTTTACCAACATCTAACAATGATTTGGTTTCTATCCTAAAACATACCAAAGAATCAAACAATCATTCAACAAGAAAATCACATAATTTTTAACTACAAAATCCGATCCAGATATCTTATTTTTCTAATCAAGATAAGTCAGTATCTGATTCACGCTCATTATATAAATCAATCGAAACAAAATTTCTCAATTCCCGAGCTCAATAAGTTTTCTAGTCTATCGACATCCTCGCCCCCGTTCACTTCAATTTTCATGGGCTCCATAGCTTCATCTTCTTGGCTATCACGCCTTCAAGATGAAGATTCACCCCAATTTTATCGCGTGTATGCCGCGTTCTCGGCCAAATCTCCGTCATCTGATGTCAACAGGTCTACTTGGATCGAGTATTATAACCCTTCAAACAATACTTGGCATCGAGTCACGACGATACCGGGATTAGTTGAGAACCATGTTTTGAAAGGGTTCGCCATGGTTATAGTGCGCGACTTCATTTACATCATCGGTGGCGTTCTTTGCCACAAGGAGTTACTCGAAGGGCAGGGCCCTGATGATGTGAGTGAAGTTGACTTAGAAGTCTACCAGTCTGTATTGCGATACAATATCATCGACGACACATGGTCCAAATGTGCACCTCTTATAGTCCCACGTTTTGATTTTGCATGCACCGTGAGCGGAAATAAGATTTATGTGGCTGGAGGAAAATGCACCATCGACAGTGTCAGAGGAGTTTCGTCATCTGAGGTCTACGATCCTGCTCTCGATCAATGGAAGTCATTGCCAGATATGGGCACGTCTAGATATAAGTGTGTCAGTGTCACTTGGCAAGGGCGAATTTATGTGGTCGGTGGTTTTGCTGAATCTGGAAGTGTCGATGCTCAAGGGCCGTTCAGTATGGCTAGGAGCTCAGCCGAAGTGTATGACACGATGAACAATAAGTGGGATTTCTTGCCACGTATGTGGGATCTCGACGTGCCACCTAACCAGATTGTGGTGGTTGGAGAAAAGTTGTTCAGCTCGGGTGATTGTTACAAGAAATGGAAAGGATTCATTGAGAAATACGACCGAGAGCTTAACATGTGGAATGTGGTCGATGGGTCATCTCCGACGTCTATGTTGGATGTCACGTCACGACAACATCCACAAACGGAACAATTGTACCTTACGATAGCACCGATCGGGACGTACTTGCACTTTTTAGCGGGCTACCGAATGACGGGCGAAACAACTTCGAGATTCAGGTCAGAAGTTCATGTTTTCGATGTACGGTTAGGGGGTGGATGGATGAGTTTTGAGCCAATGGTAGAGGATGAGGAGAAAGAGCTTTCTTGTCATTGTGCAACTTACAAAAGGCGTGACTAATGAGGTGTTGCCATGTGGATAATATTTTCTTGTGAAAATAACAATGTATTAAAAATAATATTATAAATTAAAATAAAAACATAATAAAAGACAAGTTCATAATAAAAATAATAATAAATAAATAAATAAATATTTTCAAGAATCTGTTTGGGTTCATTTAACAGATTCTTTATTAGCATTTTTATTAGTATTTTTTTTTTTTTGATATTATTGTTGATCACTTATTAATTAATTTAAAGGTTTTGTTTGTAATAAGGATTCTAAGGAGGTGCTTAATTGCCAATATAATGAGCTTAATGAATTAAATAGCTTATTTGCACTGCTTAAAAATAATGTTTACTCATGGCTTATTCGTATAGCTGTTGGCTTATTCGGTAAGATGGGTAGGGTGTGTTTTCCCCGTTCAGCCAATAAAAGAAAGTCTCTACCCTTGATTTTTTTTTGAAGTATATAATATTTATATACGGCAAATGCAACAAATAAACTCACACACCCTCCTCACCTATGGTGAGGTTTGAACCCCTGACCTCCTAAAAGGCCAAGGGTTACGAATCTTAAAATTTGAACCTTAGGCAACGATTTCTCTACGCCAAACCCGAACTACACTTGAAAATAGAATTACATTTGAAAATTTTCACGTCTTTCTATGACGTATAACTAAGGCTTCATCTCCTGTCCCAAAGGAAACATATTCCTTGTCACCCGAACGCTTAAAAACGACAAAAACATACGAAAAAGTACCTTCAACGATAGTCGCCTGAGTCGGCATAAATTATTTTAACACTCAAAACTTAAACGATTCTAAGTATAAAAGACCCTAGTCGTCAGAAATCTATGATTAACACTCGACCTCAGTTGACGAAAAGTCAACAACTAAACGAACGACCAAACAGTAGGCATCCTGTCGATACGCGCCATTGTTTCCCTCGATCTATCGACCGAAGAATGATCAACGATGAAAGACGGTTCCCTTACGGAATTGGACCGCAACCTTTTTTACCCGGACCCCAAGGCCGTGGCCTTCCTCTTTGAACTCCTACGGATGAGAGGAGTTTCCTCTTCTCACTCAAGAAGCGAAGAACCTTCGACGGGATCATCTGTCAACAAAAAGAATAAAAATCATCAACAAAATAAAACCTTCAACACATATTGTCAAGGGCATACGAAAATCCAGGATAAAATAAGATCTACGACCACAGACGAACGACTATGCTATCTGTGATCGTGGTTATCTACGACCACAAAGACCTTCGACCCCCGGTCGAGGATCTTTTACCTTCGACCCTGGATCAACGATTATATATACCCATGATCAAAATTTCATTCAATGACGACATCCTTGATTGACGTCCACAGTGCATCGACGATCTCCTGTATCATTTGTTGTTTTCCCCCTCGTTTAAGGGTTTTTCCGTGTCACCAATTCTTTGTCTCATTTATCCTTATTTTTGTTATTTTCTCGTGTTCAATTAACAATTTGTCATGTCTTGTATCAATCTTAGGGCTTATTTGTAGCAGTTTAATAAACTTAACAAGGCTCACAGGTTATTTACTCATCTATACATGATTGTTTGGTAATGACTTAATGATATATAAAGTTGGTTATTTATTAAGATTCTAAATGAGACCTTTATGCAGAAACTCAAGTTTTTCCGAACTTTCTCCACTTAATTGAAAAACGGGTAAAATGCAAAAAATAACAATCTACTTTCATAAATTTCTTTAGGGAAAAGTATAATAAAAACCAATGAACTTTCTTGTTTGGAATGATTAAGTCCTTGAACTTTTTTTTGGAACAAATAAGTCTTTGGACATTCCAAAACATGTTAAATAAGTCATTGGACAATTTTTTGG